CATGTGCGTGTGTATTGCGGCTGTTGCCTTTTAAAAATTCAGAGGAAATTCATGTAGCAGAAAATCAACCATTTTAAAGTGAACAACACAGTGGCATTTGGTGCCTTCACAATGTTGTGCAGCCATTGCCTCTGCGCAGTTCCAAACTGCATGTGCTCTGTGTGCTCAGGTTGTTCAGAACATGTGGGTGTGCTGCAGACACGTGAGTACGTCCATGGCATGCGTGTGCCAGCCCGGGGGTCTGTGAGTACTTGTAGGACTTTGAGGTTTGCGGAGCAGCCACGTGGGCCCTTAAGGTAAAGCTGTAGCCTTGCTCTTATTCCTGCCTCTCCCTGGCCATTTATTTGTTCTTGTCAGGGGACAGTGAGTGACATTTTGTTTGCTGGACCCATTTGGCTGTGAGTGACAGCTGTGGGGGGACTGGCGCTCAGTGCCGGCTCTGGGAGGAGGCCCGCCCCCCCCAGGTGCAGTGGGAGGCTGATCTCACCACCTGTGGTGCCACGGCTTTCATCCTCCCCACTGGCAGCTGGCCTGGCCTCCTGGGGATGGGGATGGGGATGGGGACAAGCTGGCCAGGCTGGCGCTGCTCTCCGTGGGATGTGGTTCCCTTCAGCTCCGCTCAGCCTGGGTGCTGGAAGCTGTGAGGAAGGAGCTGCGTGGCCCCTGCTCATCCCACTCTCAGGAAAGGTGGGCACATTTCAGGTTTCAGCCAGTGCTACCTGGAGGAGACATTCCCCCAGGGGTCAAGGCTGGGGCTGAGTACAGCTTGGCTAAAAAGATATCATTTAACCGAGTTGCCACTTCAATGGGAATCAGGTTCTAATGTCAGCAGGTAAGCCCCCAATTAAGAACTGTATAGAAAAAATAATCCTTGAAAGAACAGTTAAATCACCTGTAAATCATGCTGCTTCCGCTGTTGAATGAGCAAAAGCAGCAGCTTCCACGGAGGCTGTACCGCACAGTGAGGATACGTCTGCAAACGGGGAGCTCACGTTCACCTTCAGGGCTGCAAGCTGCGCGTTCTAGGTGGCTGTGGGATATGGGAAGGGACCCGTCTTCAGTTTCATCGGTGGGCAGAGACCCCAGGCTTTTAGAATCATTTTCTCCCTCTACCTCTCTGTCTTACCTTCTCTCTGTCTCTCAGCCCCTCTCTGTCTTCCTTCTCCTCTCCCTGTCTCTCCCTGTCTCTCTGTCTCTGTGTCTCTGTCTCTGTCTTACCCCTCTTTGTCTTGCTCTTTTTCTTCCATCTCTCTCCTCAACACCTAGAAGCAAATCCACATGCACATAGGTCATGATGCCACCATAAAATAACTTCATGTTTGGAATTTCCCCCACCTTCAGTAGAGAGCCCAATGCTCAGCTTCAGCCAGCTGTGGCCAGAGCCAAATGCTGGCCCAGGGTGGCCATATCTTCCTGCATTTTAGGAGGAGCCAGAAGTTTGAAATGATTTGTGACACCTCCCGTTTTCAGAAAAATGTGGCTCAAATTAAAAATAAAACATAAAACCAAACAAAGGAGAGTGGCAGAAGCTGCTCCGGGTTCCAGAGCGTGACCTCTGAGAGACGGGCTCTCCGTAGGAGGGCTTCTGGGAAGCTCGTCCTTCTAGGCAGCGGCCGATGTTCCCCCAAGGCTGGGCCAGGCTTGGTCCCTTCCTTACCCCCTCTGCCCCCCTCACCCCTCACACAAAGGGCAGAGGGTGTCAGCTGCTCTGTCTCCAGATGCCATTACAATTGCCAGCTGTGGGCAGCCACCACTACGTGTGGCTGGGCCTGGAGGGTGGTGGTCTGAGAAAAGTGCCATTGAGGATACAGTCCCCTTTCTGCCATCCAAAGGGGGTCACCCTGAGTTTGGATTGGAGAAGTCTTGACAACTGAATTTTAAAATCGCCCCTTAGATTGACTCTGTTATTATTTTTGGCAACCAAAGTCATTTGAAAGAATGGCCGTCTCTTCTAGTTAACAAAAATGCCATCTGGGCAAGCAGGACTTGCCTGGTGGAGGAGAGGGTTAGGCCGCACCCACATGGGGTCAAACCTGTGTCCAAGCTGCCAGTTTGAAGGATATCTATTCCAGCAATTAAGGATTGGGGTGCGCATAGCAGCACTACCCACAGTAACCGCAGCTGAAAACAACTCAAACGCACATCATAGTAGAACGGGTGAATAAATGTGGCATACTCATCCATTCACCCTGGAGATGGGTAATCCACAGCTGTAGAGTTGCTGAGCTCAACAAGCCAGACAGACATCAAAAGTGCACGTCGTTTAATTCCATGAAGTTCAAAGCAAGCAGAGCTAACCAGGCATGTTAGGTTGAGGGCATTCCCTCCAGTGGGCACAGCGGGGGACAGAACTGCACAGACTCCTGCCCTCAGGGACTTATGTTCTGGAGGGAGGACTCAGGCATTAAATCAGTAAGTAAAGTGCACACATATGAACACATGGGGAGAAAATAGGACAGGGGGTTGGTGTAGGGGGCTGGGTGTGGGGTCTGCATTGTAAATAGAGAAGTCACCAAAGGCTGCAGAGAGGGTGGCATTGTAAAAGCCTGTGGAAGGGAAGGTGGGAGCCAAAGATATATCAGGGGAAGGGCATGCCAGGAGAGGGAGCAGAGAGAGGGAGGGTCTTGAAGCAGGTTGCTTATGGAGGAATGAGAGATGAGCCTGGCTGTGGTGGGGTGAGTGGGAGGAGTGGAGAGGAGAGAGTTGGAAGGGGTCGGGGGAGTGGAGAGAGCAGAGAGCACTGGGAGCCTGTAAAGACCTCGGCTTTGACTCTGAGGGACAAGGGGCTGTGGTAGGGTTCTGAGCAGAGGGATGGGCCCTTCTATTCAGAACAAGGGCCACTGTGATTACTAGGCTACGGGTAGTGTGCAGGTGGGCAAGGCGGGAGAACAGGAGGACAGGAAGGAGCCCAACACAAAGCTCCAGGGAGATCCTGGCTGGAGGTGCCAGCAGCCTGGGCTGTGTGGCTGTGGATTTGCAGGTGGAAGAAGTAAACCCACCTGGGCAGGGCTGCAGTGTTGGGTGCACAGGGCCAGGCAGTGGATGTATGGGTGTGATGAATACCAGTGGAGATGTCTACGAGGAGGTTAGGCCAGAGACCTGAGCCCTGGACCTGGAAATGGTCAGCTCGGATGCTAGGTGAATGCCTGGGAGCTGAGGGGTGGGACTGAAATAGTATAAGGAGGAAGGAGAGGGCCAGGGACCAAGCACCAGGAAACCCTCACATCTAAGGATTGGAAATGTGACCTTGTAGGCAGAGCTACAGAGGTAGGAAGAAACCAGAAGTTGAGTGATGGAACAAGGCCATTCTCACTCTGAGACCTTCTGTGGCTCACAGCTTCCTCTCTTTTCCCTAGACTGAAAGCTCCCTGAGGACAGGGTGGGTCCAACAGGTTCTGTTAGGTCCCCAGAACTGAGAGCAGGACCTGGCACAGAAGGGGTGTAGCAGACCTGTTGAATGAATGAACGTCAGTGTGGCTGATCAAGGTGACAGGACAATGATCGTCCACCAAGGCCTGGGGCTGATGAGTAAGTAGCATGCAAATTCAGTGGGCTGCGAGTCTCAGCCCCTGCACACCGGGAGGCTCTGCTGCCTGTCATGCACATTGGTGGGAAGGAAGGACAGCTAGTCCAGGCTCTGCCAGGTGATGCCAATGGCCCCCTGCAGACGCGGGCTCAGCCAGCCCACCGCCGGAGCCTTCCCTTTGGGAGCCACCTCTGCTCTGCCTGTGCTCTTTCCCCGTTTTTTTTGCAAACTGTTTTTATCTTGCCATCCAAGAGACACAATTGGGACTTCTGTGTTAATGCCGATATGTGCCCTCCCCTCAGATCCTGGTTCAACGCTGGACTCATAAGCCAGGCTAAGTTAAAAAAAAAAGCAAAATGTGTCTGGCTTGATAGCTGGCTCTGAGTGCAATGGAAAAAGCCAAAAATAAACACTAAGTTGATGACATCCGTACCATCCGTGGGCACGGGGCCCAGGCTGGGCTAAAGCGAGGGAACAGTGTACAGCCCGGCCTCACACACAGCCCCTGGGGCTTCTCAAGGCAGTCTCGGGGCCTGGCCGGCAGCGAGGGTGTAAAGCTCTGCTATGGCCATCATCCTCTCTCAGGTACCAGGGACCTGCATGCCCAGGGACAGTGATGCCAGTCACCCCAGCCTCTTGCCTTTGCTTGCCAGAAAACCACTGCCCAGGGCAGCCTGAATCCTCAGATTTTGTTTTTCCTCCCTTGTGTTTTTCTTGCCATCTGAGAGGTGCCAGTGCCTGCCTGCACACTCTGCTCCATCTGCACTGGGCACTCCTGCCTGGCCCTGGATATGCAGTGCCCTCCCCCCACCACCTGTAGGAGCTGCTCCCTCTGCACGGAAAGCTCCTCCTCTGCTGGTAACCTGGCCAGCTCCATCAGGGCTCGGTTTACCTCTCCTGTCTGAGGGAAGCCTTTGCTGAGCCCTATCCCCCTGCCATCTACCTCATGCCCAGAGCACTGTGCAACTGCTCCCTTGAACCAGCCAGGACCAGTGAGGTCAGGCTGCAGTCACACATAAACCCTGCAACCTCAGGGACTTCATGCAACGCACATCTGCTTCTCACTCACACGGCATATCCCAAAAAGCTCACATCCCCATTCCACACCATTGTTAGGGACTCAGGCTGAAGGAGGCATTACTCCTGGGCACAGGAAGGAGCAGAGAGAGTGGAGAGAACTCACTCCTGCCTCAGCTGCCCAGGACCCAAAGTGGCCCATGTCACTGTTGCTCACACTATTGTCCAGAACTAATCACCTGGTCCCAGCCTGCCTGCAAGAGAGGCGGGGAAACATGACCTCCTTGTGTACCCTCAGGGTAGGGAAGATAAAGTGAACAGTCTCAGCTGTGCCCCACCATAGACTGTCCTGCACCACTTTGTAGTTGCCTAGTTACTTCTCTGCTCACCCCCACCCCAGACTGAGGTTCCTTAGGTTCACAAATTTCAGGCTTCTCCCCCATTTGATTCTTGGCAGCTAGCACAGTGCCCTCCTTGAAGGCCCACGAAGTTTCAGGAAGAGCCGATCCCACAACCCAGCGGGCTGTAGAGCACCTCCATGCCTCCGCAGAGCCGACTCCTCTGGTACCGCACGGCTGTGACAGATCATTTCTTCATCCGTCTCCTCCCTCTGCCAAGTCATCAGAAAATGCTGAGCACCTATGGAAAATCCTCAGCACACTCCGCCTCTTCGGTCTGGTTTTCATTTTATGTTGTGCTGCTTTTTTGGTACAATAAACAAGGTGAAAGCAAGTAAGTAAACACTGTGGGGTTTGAGGGAGTTTCAACAAATGAAGGCTACCTCGCTGTGTTCTGTTTTGAGCACGTGCAACCCTGGTTTACACGGAGAGCTGGCAAATGGTGCTTGGATAGCGGCCAGGCTTCCAGGGTGAATAAACACCTCAAAGGGACAAATGTTTTTCACAGACTGGGAGTGAAATAGAGACTCAAATATTTAAAAATAAATATATAAAAAAGAAGAAAGAAAAGAAAAGGCAAGGAGACCCTGCTGACCTTAGTTCCCAAGTGAGCTAAAAACAAGTTTTTATAATAATATTTTCTACTTCCAAAGAAACAAAACTTCTTATTTTCACTACTCCTGGCATGAGTATTTCTGTGTATTACTATTCTTGGAATGAGTATTTCTAAAATGTCATTTTTGAGATTGAACAAGGGGCTTCACTCTTTAAGCCTCCAGTTACTTGTCTGTAAAATAGGAATAATGATAACTCCTCACTCCCCGGGTAATTATGAGAATGAAATCAATTGTTATACAAAGGATATAGATCAGGGCCAGCACAAGGTGAGTTCCATATGATTGTTAGTCATCACTGCCTTCATCGTTGCTGTCATCACCACAGTCACCATCATGATATTATCACCGTCACCACTATCATCACTGTCACCACTCTCATCGTTACTTCATCACCGCCATGATCATCGCCACCATCATCTTCATCATCATCACCATCACCACCACCAGCAGCAACAGCACCATTATCACCACCACCATCACCACCATCATCACCATCACCACCATCACCATCACCACTGTCATTACCATCACCTTCATTGCCACCATGATCAACACTGCCATCATCATAACCATCACCACCATCATCATCATTACCATCCTCATCACCATCATCATTACCATCACCATCATCATCACCATCACCACCATCATCATCATTACCATCCTCATCACCATCATCATTACCATCACCATCATCATCACCATCACCACCATCATCACAATCATCATCATCATCACCATCACTGTCATCACCATCACATTACCATCATCATCACCATCATCATCACCATCACCACCATCCTCACCATCACCACCATCATCATCATCACCACCATCACCACCATCATTACCATCACCACCATCACCACCATCATCCTCACCATCACCACCATTATCCTCACCATCACTACCACCATCATCACCCTCACCACCCCCATCAAAACCATCACCACTGTCATTATTATCATCATAAGCACCATCATCACCATATTCAGGAATCTGGGAATCTGGTGTGATTAGAGACTAGGTGAGCAACCCTCGAAACTGGAGACCCAAAGTTGACTGCAGACAAGGTACAGAATTTCCTCTAGGCCTTTGTTTCCGCAGCTGTAGAGTGGAGACAGTAAAATCTCGTGCCACCTGCTTAAGAGGGTTTGAGACATGGCGATGCAGCTACTATTTCCACGGCTGCTGACAGGAAGGTGTTAGAGCCATTATTGTTAATAGCAATGTTTACTTTGGAAAAGAGGATCAAAGTGGGATTAGTTAATATATTTATAATCTGTATTTGTTCTCAGTCTATTTATAGGCCCAGAAATGCAGGTGGTCTAGTTCTCTAAAACGTGAAATATTGATGATAAACAGAACCTCCAAACTGGGCAGTTTTCCATTATCCCTGGCCTTGGGTGAGTCTTTCCATCTACTTGGAATACCCTACCTCCCCGCTTCTCCCGACAGTTCCCACTTACCCTCCACGCTTGATACAGTCACTTTCCACCTACAAATAGTCTAAGAATCTAAAACGTGATCACCCTACCATTGTACCTTTATACCCAGCAGTCAGGGTGGGGGAATTTATTCTCACAAGAGATGGTTGGCTAGAGCAGAGCTCTAGTAATAAATAAGAGCCCATACCTTTTTGCCTAGCAATTTAAACTTAAAATTTACATTTTAAAAACTTTACATTCTAAGAATTTGTCCTGGAGAAATAATCATGGATTTGCACCAGGCCCCGTCTCCAAGCACGATCACCCCTGCATTGTTTTAACAGCAGAATAATGGGAGACCACGAAAAAGTTCAGCTGACGAGATGGCATGCATGCATGCTGGAATAGGAGGCAGTCATCAGAAATGCTTTTATGGAAAAAGAAAACAGTAAAAGGGAAAGGTGCTATGGTGTTTCAAGTGGAACAAAGACAGGATTCAAAACAGCAAGGGTGGCCCTACAGCCTGTTTTCCCAGCAGGAGTATCTGCCTCTCCCCTCTCACTGTCCACACTCCCTGTTAGGACCAGGAAGTCCATGGTCATCCTAAAATTAGAATGCAGAGCAAGGTCCCGTCTTCATGGAAAACACTGTCTGTACTTCTTCACAGAAAAATGGCCAGAAGAGCGTGCTCCAGACTTTGGAGGAGTTTGTCGCTGAGAGCCATGTTAGCAGCAGAGCTCCCAGATGGCCCATTTGGCTGCAGACAGCACTGCTTCCTGCCTGGTCTCTCCTGGTGTCATTAATCAATTAATCACAGTGTCTTCTCACTTCCCAAGTGTCCCAATTTGGCTCATAAGTTAC